TCAATAATACATGAAGCAGAGCTGCCGAGGTGAAAGTAGACACCCCCAAAACTTGAGTTTACCCAAAAACTTGAGTTTACCACATTTTAAAGTTGTTCATAAAATATAGAAATGTTCTGAATGGCTGAAAGTGGACATCACGAGAGCAACGATTGGCATACTGCGAATATTGAACAGCAGCGCTGAAATGTTGCGGGTCATTCAAGGCCAAAAATATTTGTCAAAACAAATTCACTATCAGAGTATCAAGGCACACTAACCAATCTTTGAAAACTGTGCCAGATTTCAAATGTGCTATGCTATAGCGGAACAGCGTCGACACGCAACAATAAACACACACAACACATATCGAGAGGGTACACTAGCAAGCGCTAACTTTCAAATGAGATTATTGTGAAACAAAACAAGATATACAAAAGTAGTTATAGCGGTGACTAATGAAAAGCACGAAAACTGTGTTAAGGCAAGAAACATTGGAGTACACAAGCATGTGTTAAAACATAACAAGTGTACGCGATAGAGTTTATGTTTTTAGAATTAGTAGGTTTGCATGCTATATATGTGTGTTTTAGCATAATTTGAATTATGATCTTGCTTGTTTCAACACATGCCCAATTTCCCTTTAGCATTAGTTACTGTTAAACACTGCCTGTATGTATCTTGCCTGCTTCACAATAAACCTCTGTTGAAAGTTGGCACTTGTCAGTATCCCCTCTTGCCTTTTCTTGTGTTTCTGCTCTATTACGCTATAGACCACTACTTTTTAAATTTGCCCATATTTGTGCTAAACATCAAGTTGCCCTTGGTCCGAGTACATATATATATGGCATTTTTTTTTCCCGCAAGCCATTGTCGGATGGAATATGTTACCAGCCTGATTTAGTTGGCCGTAGATTGCGGATTCTTTCTATGAGGCACTGTGCCCCCCGCAGTAATGCCTAAGATGGCGCTGCGGGTAATCTTCAAAATAAATAAATATAGTATATAAATCATTAGTCTACAAAACCACACCCCACGAATTGCCTAACAGTAGTTAGACTAATTTACTTAAGTGCGAATTAATCTCACCACACTTTATCTTAGTAGCCCAATTTGGGCAAGAACAAAATTTTTATTGGCACACCCTCTGATGGGCTTAGTTGAGAATCCCTTTATGGTGGCAATGTTATTGGCCACAGATGTCCGTCACAACCATTGTAGACAATGAGAAGAAAAAAATTCGGCAGATCCCACAGCTCGTGGGAACCGGTTTCATGTGAAGCAGTAACAAGTAGTTGTCTATGGTGCATTTTTCACTTGAGCCAAGCGCTTCATGAGTGTAGTAGGGTGCACGCCATAGGCCTACCAAGCACTTTGACTACACAGGTGTTGAAAGGGCAACTTATAGTCTGACATAAAGTCAGAACTCGCATTAGAGCACATACATCATTATCACAACGAAGTGAACTTCATGGTGCGATGATTTGAATATCCCACGTAACTTTCGTTACCGTATTCCTCCGTAGTCGAGTGACGCTTCAGTATAGCTTGCTGAATCATGGTAATACAAATGCAGAGGTTATTAAGACTGCTATAAAAGCAAAGCCAGCTCTGAAACCACAACTGGCCTTAGTCCGATATGGTGCCTGAACCATAGGTGTACAAATGTAATGTCTAGGCTTGTGCGAATAGTGAATTTTAGGCTCGAGGTGACTAGTGGCTTTGGTCAAATAATTTTGAATCAAATTTGAATGTGAATATATGTATCACATACAAAAAATGAGCATGTTTGTCATCGACTGACTATTTGTACAATATTCTTTAAAAACTGAAACAAGACCTGTGCAAATGCCATTTTTTGCATCAAAGAAAGTGGAAAAAAAAAAAACTGAAACATTAGAAGGATTTGACTTTCAGTAGAATGCAAGTGATAGCCTATGAAATGAGTTTTTAAAATTTACTATACTTGGAGCATGTAAGTCTGCATAACAACTTGTTAAACAAAAGGAATTGATGAGATGGTAACATCACTAAACTTTGAAGAGAAGCTTCGCGGTAGTGCAGATTTGCCCTGTATACATGCTTTCAGGGCTTAGCGTCGCTTCAGTGCAGTGAAACCACTTTTACAAGAAGGTTACATGAAAAGTATTATACTCAAATAGATCTTTTCACGGTTTAGCACTTCTTTCTTGTAATGAAACCACCTTTACAGGATGTTACGTGTGGATTAATATGCATTTATTCATTCGTTTCGAATAATTCTAAATTATCAATAATTTTGATTCAATTCCAAGCGAATTTGAATACTGCATTACTACGTTCAAATATTCCCACAAGCCTGGTAATGTCTACTATATTGTTATGAAGTTACACAGCCAGCACTGCAACCACAATCCACGTTGCACCTGATATTACATCGCATAGGGCCTTCTGCTAAAGCAGTTTGAAGACGTGGTAGTGGCTCTGTGGCACTTGACTGCCACATAGGATACTTGCGTTTGATTCCTGCTAAGATCCTGATTTTTCAGGCATTCTGTTCATTGATTAAACACTGCTGATTTCAGGTGTGCTTAATGCTCCTGCATTTTAAGTTACCAATGTATGTTCTCCCAGCTCATTGGTAGATACAAATTATCAATCACATGCAGCACATATCTGGTTACCACGGCCCGTGGTATATTATGTGCCACACTTGTTTGGAGGAAAGAATTTGACCACGTATGCAACAGGATTGTCACGTTGTTTAGGTCATGACCAGGCGGACATACCCGTCAAACCCTCTTACCCTTCCATGCCAGTTTTGGTCTACACAATGTTAAGGAGAAAATTATGAGAGCGCCCAGATGAATGTGACTAGATAGGCTCAAGGTGCCTTAGTTAAGTAAAAAATGCTGTGCATTAAAAAGCAAATTAAAATCACAAGTTCTCGCTGGCATCAAACTCAAGTTCCATGAATGTTTTTCCACGGGGTAATGGGAGAGCCTGCAATGTGCGCTGGATGGAGACCCTAGAGTCATCTATGATGTGTGTGCAATAGAGTTATAGTGCTTGTGTGTGATGTACTAGAAGAGGAGGATGCTGATACGCAACACAGTTTCAGAAGTGAAAAAAAGTTTCAAGAGTCTGAGTTTAGTGTTAAACAGGTCAACAGGCCTGGGTGTTGGAGCTCTACTATGCAGTTAAGATGGCCATTAATGTCATCTTCTTGCAGTGTCCTACACCATCACGACCAGTCTCCTTGACAGACTTTGCAAGCAAGAGCGAACTCTAAACCCATAATTCATTGCTTGTCGTCTCGGCCAAGTTTGTGGACTTCCCAGAAGCTATGTTGGCCCAAACCGTCTGACCAATCTAAGCAATAAGCGGCACTTACGAGTTAGCTCTTGCATCTCTGTTTGTTAGATTTGCCGTGGTGTGTGCACTTCTGCATTTGTATAAAGGGGCGTTCAAAACCTGCTAACAGCATCAGTTTGGTGGGACTTTTACGTTGTCGCAAAGTACGAGAGAACCACCTTCCGGTCATAGTATCCTATCGTGCAGGCTATCACACACGCAACTAGAGTCCGAGTAGCATGGCCCGGCACCAGATGCCACGCCATAACGATTGTACTCCAACTAGTGCATGCACATAAAGGAAGTTCAAGTAGTGCTGTATTACGCCACGCATCAAGAGCAATGAGATCTGCCATGTTGACAGTTGGGCACGCCCGAGGTCTACTACTATGGGTAGACAGTGTGGTAGAGAAAATCATGCTAAAGAACTGCCCGAAAGTTTAAAAGATGGGCTTTGAGGAGGCCACTTCTCAGCTTACGCTTTTTATGGGCTGCACATTAGCAGAGACTCGGGACTGTATTCAGATACGATTGCTAAAAGCAACAGTGCGCCCTGTATGACTATGATCAGCGTTCAATGAATGAATCTTCTTCCCTTCGACGTCATTGCACTAGCCAATGGCAGTTTCAAATGTCTCTCAACACAAGAGTGCACTGCCGAAAATGTACTTGTAGGCTAGTTGGTTGGTCATATTTGCGATAAAATGGATTTCCTCTAGTCAATTGATGTACACACGCACATATACTATTCAAGCTAATCAGTCGTCAACAAAGATAAGTACGGCACTTGTGTAGTCCTTTTCGCATTTAAGAGTTTGCGTCTCCAACTGGTGTGCACGACCATTTTATTTTAAATCAGTGCACTGCACAAGCACAGATGGACACAAGTGGCGTTTTCAGGAGTACCACCTTTTAACCTAGTCGCAAGGCTCGGCTTAGGCTACTTAAAATATAAGCATTGAATGTTTTGACATTTCTTGTGCAATTGCCTAAAGCGCAGTACAATTTTCAATAAATGCATGGTAGTGCGAAATGCACTTTTGTGAAGTTTACTCCGCTGTGGTGTGCAAGAGCAAAGAGTTTCAACATCTTGCCGGAATTCGACACTGTGCTGCTGGCACAATTGAACTTTAAAAATCTAATGCTCACTGAAAGCTTCAGCATAAAAAGTGTGGCACACCTCCAAGTAACGAAGTAGGAGTTACTATGTCAGTGAAGAGACAGATTCTACTATCTATTGATGGTAAAAGGTGCTTGTTGATTCGCTATACATCAAGAGCAACTCCGAGCACCATGACCTAAACTTATGTCACTGGAAGTACCTGATGGCACTATCAGTATTTAGGTGTTGATCACTAACCAATCATGCATAATAGGATTCAATGATGCTGCTTTTTGCAAGAGTCTCAGGTTATCACCCTTGGCCATGTTTTTCCAATAAGTATAACCTCTCTGGTCAATATTCTAGATGGGACCATGAACAAGCAGCCCAGTGACAAAGTCACTTGGCACGAATAATACAAAAGTAAAAATAACTACGTCTTCTGAACAAAAAAAATTTTATTTTTGAGAAAAAAAAATAAACAGTAACTGCAAGAAGTATGTATATGACACATATATACATACATACACCACTACTATATTACAGGGAATTGAACCCACTTCATACCACCTGCCAACAAAGAACATTTTGGAGCAAAAATAAAAAAGGGGGCCAAAATTAATAAACTTCCAAAACAGTCACGTCAACAGATGTGTCGCTAATGCAGGACAATACCTAGATGAAAAATTCCGTTTACAGCTCTGTTAAACATACATGCGCTCACCAGATCACAGTACTACCGATGTATTTACACAGAAAAATTGGTTACACTCGTAATGCAGACATCTATATTTCAATAAGCATGTGCGCTCGGGTGGTGCCTTTTTTTTTCCGTGATAACATGCTGGCACTTGTGTTCTCAGCACTGTCGCAGCAGCACCCATGGCAGCAGAGAAAAACAACTGGAGGGTGCATGCTTGTTTAGTAGGACATAAGTAGATGCTCACTCCAACAATGCTAGTGCACAACAACTTGCTCGAAACTTCGCATTTGAAAATCCAGTGGCAGTCAATGTTGAGATAATCCTACACACAAGAACGAGGATGGATGCCCTCACTTCAGCCATGTACACATATGATGCAGCATGCTTTCTAGGACTTTTACAAGACATCTTGGCATGGAGATGCAGGAAGCCTGGATAGTCTCCTGTGGAGCGCTTGCAGGGAAAACATGTCCAACACGATTTTCCATCACTGTGCTCAGCCGAGTACGCTTCTGCGAATCCACAAGTCTGCAGACAATCTGAAACTTGCACACACTTGTAGTGCGATTGAGTGGCTTCCAAACTTTCTCAAGATATTCTCGAATGCAGCAATCTAAAGCGTGCAGCATCCATTCCCGTTTTTAGTCGATATGCCTTGCCACACAGACACCCGCACAAATTTTCAGACTGCCCCGACTTCAGCCTTAAGGTAAAACAAGTGCAAGTACCCTTGGCTGGTAGGTTACAGGCTGTCTGCGAAACAAACACTAGAGCGCCCACACATTTTATCCCACTAAGACTGACTGGCACACATGCTTCACCTATTACATCCAGTGAATCTCGCCGACTCAAGGCATTACTGCTGGCTATTTCATGCTGCAGCCAGCTTTAAAAAGATTGTTCTGTAAAGCAGCACAATTAAAAATATAGAACAGTAACAGGGTGAGTTAACTACATGCAGTATCACCATCAACAAGTAAAACAAAAGGGGGAAGGTGTAACAAATGGATCCACAGGGCAGAAAAGTTGGGCTAGCTCTCTTTGGAATGTCTGCGACCCGACGGCCAGACGCAGCAGATGGTTCGTCAAATGAAATACTGGCGCAGAGTTTCGATACAATGAAGCAGCAGACAGTGACTGGCCAGCGACCCACAAACAAGCTCTGCATATCCATTTGCTCAACGTCCAGTAGGTGCAAGCTGAGAGATGCAGGAGGATAAGAAAAAGCTCGCACTCTCAGACAGCAGATAGCACACCTAGCAAGTGCGACTTGAGCGATCAAACAAATACATGCATGCAGGCGCATTCGAATAAGAACAGAAACTGTGCCTGTATGGGACTAAAACGAAACAAAAGTTTCGTAAACATCAATAAATACATCGACGCATGCACACACACCACTTGGAAGTGCAATTTTACAGGGCACGGTGTGGTAAAACAGATGTCCGACAGGATCATGCCATACACACATGGACAGTGGGTTCAAAGCGTTCCTAGAAATGTCGCACCGGAAAAAAAGAAAAACCCGTCTACACCTCTTCCCTTCTTGCTTTGCCAAGAGGAGCTCTGGGGGAGAAGGTGGGGGACCATTCTAGACAAGCGACCAAGAGGGGGCAGGTAGGATGATGCTGGTACTGGAAGGGAAGGTGGCGGGCAGGAATGGGAGTCGCAATGGTGGTGGTTTGTAGAGGGGGAAGGGTGGGCAGGGGAATGGGCTGCATGACGTGCTCAACCACGGGAGTACATGATCAGAGCCACGATGAGACCATACAACCCGAGCACTTCAGCAAAAATGAGGATCAGAATCATGCCCACAAACAGCCGGGGCTGCTGCGCCGTACCACGCACGCCGGCGTCCCCCACGATTCCAATGGCAAAGCCGGCTGCCAATCCACTCAGTCCTACGCTAAGTCCAGCTCCCAGGTGCAGGAACGCACTGCAATGAAGAAATGTGGGAAGTTCAACTACAGAACAATACCCGTTTAATCCCTTGCAGTGCTAGAAAAGACAGCATGTCCATACACAGATTATCTGTCCCGAGGCTCAACAAATGTGAAGACACTGAACATCTTCACTTTGAAAAAGAAAGAAGCAGCATTACAGTTGTCTGAAACAGCTGATAGGTCTACACAACCGCAAAAATACATCAAGCAAGCTAAACGTCAAAAGAAAGAAGTGCCAGGCAGAAGCAATTCAAGAACTCCAGTAAGCTACATGTAATCATATGATGCTGTCTTTTGTGCTACGTTGCATAAATATCTTTCCCCTTTTACACAGCAGCACTCGTCTAAACCGAATGAAAGACCTCCCACCATTGGCCAATGAATATGCTAGACCGCACACTACAGTAATGCAAATGTAGCAGTGCTGAGAGAGGAAAGGTGTTCATGCTCTACGCACAATTAATGTTGAACTTTGAATGCAAAGATGTTAGCCAAACACAGCCTCAAAACACTCACGAAAATAATTTGTAGTCTGGCTTGATGGTACTGGAGATAAGTACAGCAACGACGAGGCCGTAGATGGCAATGATACCCGCCATGACTACTGGAATGATGGACTTCATGATGAGCTCTGGCCGCATCACAGACATGGCTGCAATGCCTGTGCCCGACTTTGCCGTGCCATAGGCCGCTCCCAGCGCTGAAAATACCCGGCATTAAAAGAAAGCCATTAGTAACACAACAAAAACGGGAAAGCATAAGCAGATCAGCATGAAAAGTCCAGAAGGAGGCGCACTTTGCATGCTTTATTGGTTTCCTTCGACAGGCAGATACAGTGAAGTAGAAGCCTGAGTAATTAAATACAACGATCATGTGATTAAGGTATAGAATTGAGGAGACTGACAAGGTCAACCACTCTAAGAAACCGATAAGATTATTATAAAGCTTATATTAGGCATTCCGATATAACACAAAGCCCTAAACCCTTGTTGAGCTTCATTCTGAACAAGCCTTGGTCCTCTTGCTTCTAGGCAGTTAGCGTACAAGTTTTCACTAAGGCGTTAACTCATAAGTCTTCCTGTAAAGTGAATGGGAGAAGGCCTGCTGAAAAATGCCGGCCTAACAAACGGCAATGGGAGGCTCCAAACGGTTCGACCCGACATTATAGGAGCCCCTTATTGTTCACTTCGGACTACGACGCGAATGAGCGAACAAAAGCAATTTATCGCCGCGGCCAATCACTCCTTCAAAGGGTGTGAAGCAGATGAAACGCCGACGCTGCCGGCATCTCACGTGACCGAATGAACCACCGTACGCGCACGCGGTGCAGAGAGCTCCATTTCCAGGACATGTTGCACCGGCACAGCTGCACGTCACTTCGCCACCGAGAAGGTCGAAATGCGCATTCTGCCTGGTTTTCGCCAACAGGAAACGCTGCCGAAGCGTGAATAATCGAGATCGCAACCCGAATCGCCTTTCGCGCGAGCACGCGCGTGACTTTCGGAGGTAACGCCCCCCCTTTCGCGCCGTTAAACGCCGTCAAAAAACGCCACGGAACGGAATGGAGCGCGCGTCTAGTTTCACATAGGCATACTTTTGACCCCATAGCCGACCCCGAGAACGCCGGCACTATAAGCGCAGTTTTACACACGGTTTTACGGGTGGCCCGTTATCAGGCTACCATGAAGTCTCGGCATGCGCAGTCACGAGACCAGAGCCGGTGACTGCTTCGCTCGGCGCAATGGTCGGCGCAAACACTGAAGAAATCGGATGAATTCAATCGAAATTCAAGTTCTCGGCTATAAGCTCGAAATTCCCCCAATACAGCGCAGACAGCGGGCTTCGAAGAATGCCCCTCCCTCATTACGATTAGTCAGAGCTGCAGTCATTGAGCCCAGCGCCGGCAGCAATGAAAGGCTCGTACACCGGTTGTGCGGACGACTAATAGAAATACGGTTCCACCGTTTTGCACGGAACAAAACGAACGTACGCGAGGTACGTGGCTTCAATGCGTACGAATACTGCAAAACGCACAAAACTCTGGCCATATTTGTGATACCCTCAAAGTAGCAGTATATAAAAAAAGCTGTCCAAATATGCACAGAAAAAAAAATCCCGTGACCGCTATCCCAGAAACGCGAATATATGCTAGGTGTGGCCGGAGATGAGGCTCAATAATATGAATGAAACGAGGGCATTGAAACGCAGATTAAGCGGTCACAGCCAGCTCAAATATTTCCTATTCCAGTGACTTAGGCCTAGGGGCACTGGCCGCTCGTAGGAATCGACTGCAGCCGCAGCGAAAGTAGTAAGGAAGGGGGAGTTGTACTTTACCGCTGAACGCCATAGCTGCAACGGCTCCCATGACGCCGAAGAAGGGAGTGTACAGAGGTTCCTTGTCGGCCATAGCTGCTTCCCTGGGAAATTTTTGAGCGAGAGCTTGCCAGCGGCAGAAATCTTGATCGTACACCACCGATTGCCAGCTGCAAGCTTACGTCTCGCCGAATGGCCGATGGCTCTTCTTTTTATCACGTGACATGAAAGACTCGCAACGGAACCGGAAAAAAAGGTATGCTCCGATGCCGTGGTTGGTGGTAAAGTACGCAATGCGTTGACGTAACTCTTGACGTAAAATTGGTGGTGATGACACTTGGACTGGCAAAAAGGCTGGACGAACAAAACCGAAACCGAAAGCATGGAGCACCGTTTATTTCTGATTTGGCGATTTTTCACTGTTATCTATAGCGTACTATTTTCTTTCTTTTTTCTTTCTATTTTTATTTATTTATTATTTCAGTTTTAATTATTGTGTGATAATTCATATTATTCTCTTTCAATAGGCCAAACAATGGTTTCACAAAGTATGAAATTAAAGGTCCCCCGAAGGAAGCAACGAGTCAAGCAAAACAACAAAATAAATATTGAATTGACCATATGGTTGCAATAATATTAATTAGAGATGAATTTCATCATTTTACTTCGTTCTTCAGCGTTCTGTATGGCATCGGAGATGTCTATAGTGTTCTGTGCTTGCACGGTGCGTGTCACTTATGCCTCACTACGATTCCGAAGGCGGTTATTTTGGTTCGCTTATGTGCCGCCCTTCTCTGACGTACAGAAAGCGCTGAGTTCGTGTAGAGTACATTCACTCTGCGTGTAGAGTACATCACCGTACATTCACTCTGCGGTAGCGTACACAGGGACCTAGCGAATGTGCACGCAGAAAATCAAGTTATCACGCTGTGTTTGGTGCAACAAAATGAATTAAAAAAAAAGGCCAGGAAAAGCATAGTTGCTATAAATTGTGAGGGAATACAGGTACGTACATGGGAGTAAGGTTGAGAGCTGGGCTAGTTGGTGAGACATCATTTAACCATATGGTGTAGTAGCGCAAATTCACGGGGACGAAGAGGACAAGAAAAGGACAGTAGCGAGTGTCGTGTTTTCTTGTCCTCTTCGTCCCCGTGAATTTGCGCTACTACACCATATGGTTAAATGACGTACATGGGAGTGTAAGGGTTCCAAAGCTGACATCATCCTCTCATGGGTGTGGACGTGTTGACCACCGCCCCTTTTCATCTGAGAAGTCCGCCGCGGTGGAGCAGTACGTGGTTATGGTAGATATGGTGCTCGGTTTATATGCCGAAGGTTTCGGGTTCGATCCCCCGTGGTGGTCGCATTTTGATGGAGGTGAAATTCTAGAGGCATGCGAACTGCGTGTTGTACTTTTGTAGCGCACGTAAAGAACACACGAGATAGTCGAAATTCCCAAAGCCCTCCAATATATACATTCTAAGAAAAAATCGAGTTTTTAGGGATTATTTCCGCCTCTCGTAATCTATTTCGTGTGCTTTCGTCGCGTTATCACCATGGTTCCAGTTCACTATCACAGACGGCACGCGCGTTATCGGTGTGACATAGCGTTCTTGATAGGAAAGTGGGGCGAGCACCGGGTTTTCAAGAAAGGAAACGTGAGAAAATAAGACGACGATTAATTGTTGCGTGGTCGAACTACTCTCCAAATACTCCATTTCTTTTGTGGAGTGTACGGCATCTCTCTTAATAATGTCGAGGTTTTGGGGCGCGAAACGCCGGATATAATTATTGTTCGTATTGTTTCCTTTGAGAAAGAGATTCAGGTGAGGAAAGTCAGGTAAATGGGAGTGTATAGTTTCTTCCCCCACCACCTTCCGTGAAGTCATGCCGGCTACAACCCTGCCCTGCCAACTGATGTAATTCTTACCTGAGCGGTTACTCGAAAAAATATGCATAATTAAACTATCGCCATTTTGCAAGAGAGATCGTGGGAAACAACCAGAGCCAGCTGTTGTAAAGACCTCTAAGAAAGAGACATTTGTTTTGTATATATATATATATATATATATATATATATATATATATATATATATATATATATATATATATATATATATATATATATATATATATATATATATATATATATATATATATATATATATATATATATATATATAGTTTTTGCGTTTAACCGGCTGCACGGCCATCGTATTGTGCGAAAAATTGTTTGGTTCATTTTATAAGTGCTTATAATTTATCACCCACCTATCCCCCCCCCCCCCCCCCCCCCCCACACACACACACGTACTATGTGCTGGTTCACTGGAGCTAGTTGCAATGGTTCATGATCTTGAATACTGGACAGAGAGAGTTGAACATGGGACATGAAAGATCATTGTTGTGCACGACAGGCTCTTTTCCTGTGCATCAGTATTTTTTTTTTGCTTTGTCGAATCCACGCTGTTCAGCAGTATTTATAACCGTAAAACATTGGTAAGCAAACCTTTCCACGTATGCAAGCGCAAGTAGCTTAAGTAAATGACTTGCAAAACAAAATTAGGCTTGGCCGCTCGCTTGCCGGCGGAATCATGTCGCTCGGAGACGCCCTCAGACACGCATGTCACGTAACGAATGCGTTCCGAACGCTAGCTCGTATTAACGTTCTTCCATTTACTGCAAGTACGAACGCGCTGAGAAAAAAATAAAAAAAAGTTTTCGTGTACGTGAGACGGCACATTTCCTTTGATCCTTTTCAGCTTGAATTACATGCTGTTTGCCATCTGGTACAAGGCCGGGCGGCGGTCGCTGTCGTCCCTAAAAGCTATAGGCACATGTGCGCAGCTGTCGTTGTAACCTAGGGCTTCCACCGTTTGCTTCCTTCAACTCGCTTTAATTGCGGGCTTTTCAGATGACCTTGAAAATCCGAGTGCGCACCTATATACACACCTACTGCTCATCTCATCGAAGGAGAGTGTGCGAGCATTTGTGCGCATGTACGGCCTCTCATGGTGGGTATTTCCTGACGTCTAAGGGCGCAGGTATTTTGAGTCAAATCTCGGAGGCATGCACTGAGGAAAGGGAGAGAATACTCTTCTGCTAGGCGTGTGAAGTGAGAGCGCATGCGCAGGTGGTGGCGCGTGTGAGACAATGTCAGTCTGCTTGTATACTCATTCTGATGTGTGCGAGACAAAACCGAAAAAAAAAACGGTAGGCTAGAAAGCTGAAGCCGTCGGATGGCACGGTGTTTGAATTGCAATGATGTGGTGTACTCAAACTCGGAGATCTAACGAGATACACCAATTGCAAGCCTGTCGACGGTGCCTTATAGAAGAACAAGTCAAAATATGAATAAATGAGTCGCTAGGGCATGCTGACGTAGTGTGCATGCTGAGGCTGTTCAAATAGTCGCTGTTCAAACAGGGAGAATTTGACTAGAAACGCACTGACGGGATTCAAAAGAGGTGGCGTCAGGGCATCTTTTGCCTTTGTTAACCGGAGTGGGGGGTGCAATTGCTGTCCGCTCTAGGGCGAGGGAGGAGGTCAAATGGGAAGGAATAGGCCGATATTTGGGGTGGGGGCACTGACCCTCATGTGCCCCCTCTTGAAGTCACCTATGTTTTGACATAATGTACTGCACCGTGCATGATACGGAACAAAACATGGAACATGGCAAGCTTCGGCACTCGCTAGTTTCTCAACGGCTATAGTTTTACAGTGGTGTACAAAGTACGAGGATATGGACTACAGGTCCTAACACATGCAAAAATAACCTTATAGGAGCCCTGCAACACTGTTCCAAGTAATCATAGAATGGCCTCACTAAAAGAGTTTATTTACTCAGGGATCGACTGCCGCAAAGTTTTTAGAATCCGCCAAGCGCGTGATGTACGAGCAGAATTGCAGTGATTGGTCGCACGCTCTAAAGGGGCACTAAAGAGAAAGGATGAATCGGTGTATATCGATAAGTTGTACTATGGAAACTCATAATATCACCGTTACACCACCATTGGTTTATTAACAGAGGAGGAAATAAAGTTCAAGGCTTCATTTTTAAATATCACGGCAAAATTTTCACGCGTGACGCCATATATTTCAGAAAGCATTTGTCGCATTTCGGCCTCATTGACTCCACGAGATTTCCTCAAACTTGGTATGTCAAGCCCTTGGCCCGCTCAGATGACAGCGGACTTCATTTTTACCGATTAGGAACTGCGCAGGCGCCGTCAAAATTTGCGACGTCACGGTGCTGCGCTATCGTGTATGGCTCACGTGTTCTCGGAAGCCTGGAATTCCGATCGGCAGGGTTATCTGATTATGCTAAAAAGTGTTGCAGGACCCATCAACTTGAAAACGTGTTCACCTCAAAATATTTCTCGCGCATATACCGACTACAACTAGCAATCAGCCACAGAGGAGATCGACAATACAGCTTCAGTCAGAGCTTCCTGAAAAATTAATTTTATTAGCTGCGGCCATTCTACGATGCAGCTTGTGCATGCTCTTTTTGTTGCCCAAGCGTCGGAAAGGGCCATGACAGCATGAGTATGCCAATGACGACATGATTAAATGTGAGGTGCCTACGTGGCATTGCAGTGCTGCTCGTCGAAGAGTTATAGTACTTATATACAATACAATAAATGGGCTCTTTGTCACAATTGTCATTTCTTTTTAGAATTGATTTCATTTTTGCTTCTTACCACAAGTGCATTGAAAAAAAAAAAGCCAGAAGCTGCCTGCAACATCTGGTATATACTTTGCGTTGGACTATTAGTAATTTTCCCTTCATTTATGTAGCATAAAGATAAAATGCACAAATGGACAGTCGTGTGCGAACAGTTATGTCGGTTGATATCGGCCGCAGTTGTACACACTGTGTATAAATGCTGGCCAGCTTAACCTTTTCGGGCTGTATTCTGTTCAACGTAAGCAACTGCACTGAACAATTTGAGATGAGCATCATCGTGGTAGTCAAAAAGTGAAAAAAAAAAGAAATTTGTGGTCCACCTACAAAAATGATTTATTGGCTGAATTATTTTCTAATGGCATATCTAAAATTACGCACTGATTTATTACTTGAAAATTATCTTGACAATGTAAACTCTGCAATTCCGTCGTCTATCAGGTATATTAGGTATCAGGTATATCAGGTAGTCTATCAGGTATACTATATATGTACGCACAGCTGATGCTATACGAGCGGTTGCTGACTGACCTACCA